TTTTTATTTTTTTTTACCTCTGAAAACACAGGTTGACTTGCTTGAAGGGGTGCTAAAACTCTTACTGACCCCAAACTTGTGAACAGTAGTGTAATTTTGATTCTAAACAACAACACTTAATAATAAAATAGTTCAGCTAAATAAAAACTGTGCTCTTTGTTTTGTGCTTGGAGTCTAGGCATGATCAGTAATACGGTATATCACAATAATTAACATGTGCGACTGTATTATCAGGAATCACCATTTCCTGTTTTCTCTTTCAGTATGTCTCTCCTGAGCCAGCAGCCCTTCCTCTCTCTGGTGCTGACGTGTCTCAAGGGACAAGACGAGCAGAGGGAGGGTCTCCTGACTTCCCTCTACAGCCAAGTCCAGCAGGTACCTCATCAACACACACCGTGTGTGTGACTGTCAGTCAGTGCTTCTCATCTCTTTGGACTGATATGATGTATTCCCCCATCAGATTGTGACTAACTGGCGTGAGGACCAGTACCAGGATGACTGCAAGGCCAAGCAGATGATGCACGAGGCCTTGAAGCTGCGACTCAATCTGGTGTGCAACCGTTATCTCTTTCTCTCATAAGCTATGTTTCCATCACCCTATTTTAATGTGCATTTTGAAGTATCGCATGAGAAACGAATGATGAAAATGCCAAATTTCTAATAAAAATCCCTTAATTCGCAAAAAAAGTTTTATGCTCGCTTGAGGTGGTTTTTGACTTGTGCGAAAAAGGGTTGATGCGAATAATGGGAGATGGAAATGCATTTTGCGAATAAATTCCTCCAAGCGCATCAAAAAAGTCATGTGACTTTGCGCTATGGGACGGCAAAACCTGACTAACCAGCGCCCTTATGACTGGTTTTGTGGTCCAGGGTCACATATATGAAAATTATTATATTCTCCTAATTTTCTTAGTGATTTATAGTGCCAGTTTATCAGGAAGTGACGATTTTGTTCTCTTTGACTTGTTGGATGGAAACGATGCTTGTTCGCAAATGTTTTATGCGATATTCCAGTTTTGCGCATAAGTTAAAAGCGCAACTTTGGATGGAAACCCGGCTATACATCATCTGCCTTAGGCTGACCAAACAAGTACAGTCGGTGTGTTGATCTCGCTCTCATCAATCTCATTTCCTTGTATTGTGTGCCCGAGGTTAAACTCTACCTGAATGTCACCAAGATGCGGTTAAACTGCACTGAGCTCATTTGTTATTTTGTGTCACGTGGTCTAGGTGGGTGGGATGTTTGATACGGTGCAGCGAAGCACACAGCAGACGACAGAGTGGGCGGTGCTTCTGCTGGACATCATCAGCAGTGGCACAGTGGACATGCAGTCTAACAAGTGAGATCTGACACACCCCTCATGCAGACACTGACCGTCTTTGCTCTACAGTCTACAGGAGTTGAATGATGTTTGTTCTTTTCCATTAGTGAGCTCTTCACTACGGTGTTAGACATGCTGAGCGTGTTGATTAATGGCACTCTGGCGGCTGACATGTCCAGCATCTCTCAGGGCAGCATGGAGGAGAATAAGAGGGCCTACATGAACCTGGTCAAGAAACTCAGGGTAACACTGAGAAATACTGTGATTGTTATTTACCTCAGAAAAGACAACAGTCTTATGGCGCTTTTCCACTGCATGGTACGGCACGGCTCGGTACTGTTCACTTTTTGGAGGTTTTCCACTGGGTACAGTACCTGGTAGGGCTGTGCGATTTGGGGGAAAATATCAAATTGCAATTTTTTTGACAGATAATTGCGATTGCGATTTGATTTGCGATTTTACATTTGCAAAGTCAAGCTTCAGCTCAATATTGTCAATAATGTGCAGCACAGTATGGGTATCAACCCTGCTGAAAAAAACAATAGAAACCATCACAGAAATTCTTATAGTTTCCATTAAACCATTACAAAATTCCTTTTTGTTTTGGGCATTATTCCAATAGGAATTACTGTTGTTCTATTGGTTGCCATCTGCCAGATTACATCCCACCAATAGAATCCATCAAATAGACACCATTATAGTTTACATTAAAACCAAACAAATTTTTTTTAACAACCAAAAAAGTTTTGTTGTCTGTTGCGGAAGGACAGACATTCCTCTCATTGATAGCAGAGGAGCGGATCCAGCGAGAGCTTGATGGGGCGACGCGGAATGAAAAAGGTTTTTTTAGGAGTCGTGGTAGTAGAGGCGGCGCAACTATAACATATGTGAATAATCACGCCCACTCTAGCGGTACTGAACTGTAGTGGAAACGCAAACCGTGCCGAGCCGAGTCGTACCACGCAGTGGAAAAGCGCCATTAGTTAATGAGTTGGAGCCCACTTCAACCTTTGTTTTTAATGCTGTTTTTAATGTTAAATACATGTGAGGAATAAAAGGTTGGACGCCACAGACGTTTTTTTGCGGAGTAGGTGAAATGTTCACATTAATTCTAATTCATATTAATTAACCTTATTATACTACTTTATTCTCAAAATATTATGACGGTTAATAAAATATTGCTACGACTTTATTCTAAAAGTACTACAAATTTAATCTCAATACTATGACTTTATTCTCAAAGTACTACAAATTTAATCTCAATGCTGTGATTTTATTCTTAAAATATTACGACTTTATTCTCAAAATATTACGACTTTATTCTCAAAATATTATGACTTTAATCTCATATTGCTGACTTTATTCTCAAAATGTTATGACTTTATTCTCAAAATATTATGACTTTAATATCATGTTGCTGAGTTTATTCTCAAAACATTACGACTTTATTCTCAAAATATTATGACTTTAATCTCATATTGCTGACTTTATTCTCAAAATATTATGACTTTAATCTCATATTGCTATGACTTTATTCTCAAAGTACTACAAATTTAATCTCAATGCTGTGACTTTATTCTTAAAATATTACGACTTTATTCTCAAAATATTATGACTTTA